CATGAACCCTTTGTGCATGAAGTCATAATTTTGTACTCATTTGTGTTCTCCACCTGAAAAACATTGGTATCTGGATTCAGAGGAACAAAATTCACCTCTGGAATTTCAAGAATGACCATAAATGCCTCTTAACAAATGTAGCTCTTCTCTTTATAATCCAAGAATTTGCCACATCCTGCATCTTCTGTGCTAGGTAACTAATCCCCTTCAGAAGATTTTGCACAATACAATGCACTCAGTTGTTACTATTCTTACTATTCATAAGTAGTCTTCCACCTAGAGTCTTATAGGTCATTTAGTTGGCTCCTCTCTCCCTAGGAGACTGCCCAATTGACTCCAACAACACTTTCTTTTTTTAATATTTATTTTTTAGTTTTATTTATTTATTTATTTATTTTTTAAAGAGAGAGTGAGAGAGAGGGACAGAGAGAGAGAGAGAGAGAATTTTAACATTTATTTATTTTTTCTTAGTTCTCGGCGGACACAACATCTTTGTTGGTATATGGTGCTGCTGAGGATCGAACCCGGGCCGCACGCATGCTAGGCGAGCGCGCTACTGCTTGAGCCACCTCCCCAGCCCCATATTTTTTAGTTTTAGGTGGATACAATATCTTCATTTTTTATTTTTATGTGGTGCTGGGGATTGAATCCAGTGCCTCATGCATGTAGGCAAGTGCTCTACCTCTGAGCCACAACCCCAGTCCAACACTTTTCTTTAAAAAAAAAAAATCTATACAGGCAATTATTAAACAGGAGTGATAGGAATGAGAATGGTACTATCACACCTACGTACACCCCTAAAAATGAGAAGGCATATGGACTATGGGATGCCTTTAGGATAGGTAAGCTCCTAGAAGATTGCACACTTAGATTTTGGATCATATTTGGGGTGAGCATGGCAGTGCACATCTGTAATCCCAGTTACTCAGAAACTGGATAGGTTAGGTTAGACTGGGAAATTAGGTGAGACTCTGTCTTAAAATAAAATTTAAAAATGGGCTGGATGTAGCATTCAGTGGTAGAGCACTTGCCCAGTATGTGAGGCCCTGGGTTCAATCTCCAGTGAAAACACACACACACAAAATCATATTTGGCTACGTATCTTTTCTGCTTGCTTTCTGAAGCCCAGCAGAGAGCTGTTGGAGGTAATACATAACCCAGGATATAACACACAGTCTGATGTTTTATTTAGAAATCATTTATTTTTATTTTAAATTCAAAGGTAGTACATGCTAGATAAAATTTGATACAGAAAAGAATAAAATTAGAGAAATCAATATCATCAAGAGTTATCTTCACAAATTAACTAATTTATTTTTGGTACCAGAGATTGAACCCAGGGGTGCTTTACCAGTGTGCTACATCCCCAGTCCTTTTTATGTTCTCATTTGAGAACATAAGCTGGCTTCGAACTTATGATCCTCCTGCCTTAGCCTCCTGAGTTGCTGGGATTACAGGTGCACGGTGCCACTGTGTCCGACTTCTTCACAATTAAAAAAAAAAAAAAAAAAAAAAAGGAAAGAAAGAAAAAGAAAGACATATCTCTAAAATATTTGGAAGGATATTTTTTTCTACATTTTTTTGTAACAAGCAGCAAATATATTGTATTAGAACTGAGAGAACATTTTATAACATTTGATTTCCTTTTTCAGTTTATTTTGTTTTCAGTGTATGAAGATGGAATATAGTTGCAATAGTTGCAATAATCTTAAAGTCTACAGAAATGTATGTCATCTAAAGTGAAAAGTTTCAGCCAGTATTGGTGGCACATACTTATTATCCCAATGACTCAGGAGGATTGTAAGTTCTAGACCAGCCTGGGCAACTTAGCAAAACCTTGTCTAAAAATAAAGTAAAAAGGAGTGAGAGTGTGGTTTAGTAGTAGAGGGCCTCTGGGTTACCTGCCCCCCACCCCCCCTACTCCTGCCAAAATAAATGAAGTGAAAAGTTTCCACAGTGGCATGCTTTTTTTGATTGCTTGTTTTGTTTTGTTGTGGGGATTGAACCCATACCTCATGCATGCTGGGAACATGTTCTACCACTGAGCTTACATGCCCAGGCCTCCACTGTTGCATTTTTTTTTTTTTTTAGTTTTAGATGAGCACAATACTTGTATTTTTATTTATTTATATGCTGAGGATTGAACCCAGGGCCTCACATATGCTAGGCAAGTGCTCTACCACTGAGCCACAATCCCAGCCCAACACTGTTGGATTCTTTATAGACAACTGGTATTAACAAGTTTACTAGATGTTTTCAGAATATATATTTACATATATACATATTAGACATTTTTTGGTGGGGTGTGTTACTGGGGATTGAACCCAGGGGCACTGTTTTTTCACATCTCCAGCCCTTTTTATTTTTTCAGACAGGGTCTCACCAACTTGCTTATTAGGGCCTTGCTAATTGCAAAAATTGGCCTTAAACTTGAGATCCTCCTGCCTCAGCTTCCCAAATCCCTGGGATTACAGGTGTGCACCACCATTCCTACTTAAGCACAATTTTTAATTCACTTTAATTTTAACTAAAATTAATGTGACCTTAATATCTTATTAAAACATGGATTAGCTGGGTGTGGTGGTGCTTGCCTATAATCCCAGTGGTTGGGGAGACCGAGGCAGGAGGATTGCAAGTTCAAAGACAGCCTCAGCAACTTAGCGTGGCCCTAAGCAAATTGGCAAGAGCTTGTCTTGAAATAAAAAATAAAAAGGACTAGGGATGTGGCTCAGTGGTCAAGCTCCCCTGGGTTCAATCCTTGGCACCAAAAAACCAAAACAAAATTAAATTAAAAAAACATAGCTTGGGGCTGGGGTTGTGGCTCAGTGGTAGAGTGCTTGCCTAGCATGTGTGAGGCACTGGGCTAGAGTCTCAGCACCACATATAAAGAAATAAAGGTCCATCAACAACTAATAAAATATTTTTAAAATATGGCTTAATAACTAGACAACATTTGATGTCATTGTATTGAACCACTCTCTTATTACCAGGAATTTAATTTTTAATTGCACAGAATATGATGATAAATATACATAATTACTGTGTGGATTTTTTTTTTTTTAAAGAGAGAGAGAGAGAGAGAGAGAGAGAATTTTTAATATTTATTTTTTTTTTTTTTTAGTTCTCGGCGGACACAACATCTTTGTTGGTATGTGGTGCTGAGGATCGAACCCGGGCCGCACGCATGCCAGAGGAGCGTGCTACCGCTTGAGCCACATCCCCAGCCCGTGTGGATTTTTTTAATGATAAAATCTTTCAAGCAGAATTACAAGATCAAAGGTATATGTAAACCAGGTATGGAGTCGCACACATATGTAAACCAGGTATGGAGTTGCACACCTGTAATCCCAGTGGTTTAGGAGGTTGAAACGGGAGGATCTCAAGTTCAAAGCCAGCCTCAGCAACTTAGCGAGGACCTAAGCAACTTGGCAAGACTTTGTCTTGAAATAAAAAAATAAAAAGGATTGGGGAAGTAGCTCAGTAGTGAAGTGCTCTTGGGTTCAATCCCTGTACCAAAAAAAAAAAAAAAAAATATATATATATATATATATATATATAGTATATGCATATTATCAGGAACTCATGTACACTATTAATTTGCCTTGGAAAATGATTATTCATTATTCAGTAGTTACTTTGTGGGTGACTTATTTTAGTTGTTGTATTTGTTTTGTTTTGTTTTTGTAGCACTTGAGATTAAACTCAAAGGCACTCTACCATTGAGCTATACCCTCAGACCATTTTGTTTTTTACTTTGAGACAGAGTCTCCTAAGAACTGAATTGTGATTCTCCTACCTCATACTCCTGAGTTTCTGGGATTACAGGTGTGTGATACAGTGCCCAGCTTTTTAAAAGAGGCTCAGTGGCATAACCAGAAATCAACAACCTTCTGATTAAATGTTGACTTTATTCCTTTGATACTGCTAGCATTAATGGAGTCTGTTTTTAAGAAATTTTCTCAACCAGGGGAAGTGGCCCATACCTATAATCCCAGCTACTTGGAAGGCTGAGGCAGGAGGATCACAAGTTCAAGGACAGCCTGGGCAATTTAGCAAAACCCTGTCTCAAAAAACAGAACTAAACAGGGCTGAGGATGTAGCTTTGTGGTAGAGCATCCCCGAGGTCAACCCCATACCAGAGGGAGGGGAAGAGAGAGAGAGAGAGAGAGAAAAAGAAAGAAAATTCATATCTCCTTCAATATTTTATTGTGAAAAAATTTAAACAGAAAGGTTGAGAGAATGGTACAGTGAACACCCACGCACTCACTGGCTAGAATCCATAGTTAACATTCTGCTATTTTGTCCATCCATCAAGCCACCACAATTTCTTTTTCTTTTCTTTTCTCTTTGGTGATCAAACCAAGGAACCGTGCAAGCTAGGCAAGTGCTTTACCAAATGAACATCGCAGTTGAAGTTTTGTTTTTGTTTTTTGGTACTGGGGTCACATCCTCAGTCCTTTTTATTTTTAAATTTTGAGACAGGGTCTCTCTAAATCGCTTAAGGCCTTGCTAAATTGTTGAGGCTGACCTGGAATTTTCGATCCTCCTGCCTCAGCCTCCCCAGTTGCTGGGATTACAGGTATGCACCACCATGTCCGGCACAAGTCCTCAGTTATAATGTCCCAGGTTACAATGCTCTGTTTTAAAGGGTTTGAATGTGAACTGCAAGGTGGGAGTTTAGCTGGGTTGTGTATTTGCACTCAGGATGCAAACAGGGGGCATGGCTCTAGATTCTAATCCTGACTCCACTCTGAGACTTCAGTTTTCTCTCCTGTAACACGGGGGGGGGGGGCGGGGGGTCCCTCCTTCCTGGGTAAAGATTCAAAGCGCAAATCACCAGATAACATTCTAACAGTAATGGCTGTGATAGTTCTCATGTAATCTTTTACACCCTCATCCCCCACAACCACAAATCCAAGATCTGAGGACCACCTACGGTTTACACCATCAGGTCTAAACAGCTGTTAAATGAGCACAGGGTGGGCCAGAGGGCTACTGACCTGAGGCTGCGGACCGCGTCAGTCCACCGCTCGGGACTCGTTCGGTTCGCTGCAGGTCGGCCTGCGATCGGGCCTGGATCCTTCCCTCCGGCGCCCTGCACGCAGAGTGACAGCTGCGCGCTGATCCCGAGCGTGCCCGCGTCACCTCAGGGAGTGCTCATAAAGGCCTGTGAGGTAGGCGGCGCTACAGAGGGAGAAATCGAGGCTCAGGGAGTCTCTCGCTCAATCCAAGCAGCGGGTTAGCGAACTGCATTTGAGGATTGAACCCTAACTGCTCTACCTTTGGCGTCTTGGAGACCCGCCTGCACCTACAGGGGGCGCCGACAGTCGCGCATGCGTAATCATCGCGGCCGCGTCCCCTTTAAGAAATTCCTTTAGCCTCGGACCCCTTTGCTTCCGCTCCGCGTTCCCACAATGCTGTGCGGCTGAGCGCCTCCGAGCCCGCGGGGACGCTGCCGGGGAACCCGGGCTGAGGCGGCGGCGGCGCGACGTGGGCTGCGGCGGGCCCGCGGCGTCGGGCGGTGCGGATGTCGGGCTGGGCGGACGAGCGCGGCGGCGAGGGCGACGGGCGCATCTACGTGGGAAACCTTCCGACCGACGTGCGCGAGAAGGACCTGGAGGACCTGTTCTACAAGTACGGCCGAATCCGCGAGATCGAGCTCAAGAACCGGCATGGCCTCGTGCCTTTCGCCTTCGTGCGCTTCGAGGACCCCCGGTGAGGCCCCCGCGGGTCTGCCCGCCTGCAGGCCCCAGCCCCTGCCCGCGCTCCGCTCCCCTCCCCCCGCGGGCCTCCCCTCCCCCTCAGCGCGGACCCCTCGCGGCGCCCCCGGATGGAGGAGGAGGAGGCCTCTTCTCGCCGCGGGCTTCGGGCCGTCCTCTGCTCCGTCGTCACTTCCTTTATTATTATTTTATTTAGAAACACAAAATCGAAGCTTTTGGAGGGCCAGATCCCGCCCAAACTGGCCTTGGGGATGGTAAAAATTAGCGTTCGCTCCTTCGCGGCCGGAGAGGCGTCCGTAAGGGGACGCGGACCGGGCTAGGAGAGCTCCGGCCCGTAACTAGCCCCGGGGAGACTCGGCAGGGTGCAGAAGTAACCCCCGGCCACCCCTCCCCCCTGCCGAATTCGCCGTTGGGGGGAACAGACTGCGGGGGCGTGGATGTTTTGGGAGGTGGCAAAGAGGGCTCTAAGAAGGCTCGGTGAAGGACCCGATCTCCAGCCCGCGCGCGCCTCTCCACAAGGCCAGAACCTGGCCCGGATAAAGGACTCGGGGGCTTAGGGGGACTTCTGAAACAGCTTGAGGGACGGTCTTTCATCACACTCCCCTCTAATGAGGGAGGTCTTACTAGATGCTGAAGGTCCCAGGGATGTGGAAACTTTAGATCCCTAAACTTGCGCGAAGGGATCTTTGTGATTTTGCAAACATTGTTGGGATTCTGGCTGGAAAAAGCCCAGGAACTTTCAAAAACTGCGGTCGATGCTCAGAAGCTACTGCTCTGCACTGGTCACTATTATTTAGCTGGGGTTAAATAGGAGCCGGCCCCATTTTCCTAGCATCGTGTCGAGGAAGGGTTCTCTGCCCCACTGCCAGGAATATCCGTAGCGTGGGTCCTGCCTGCCGGGAGAGCATCTGAAGTTGAGGTGGCAGGAAGCACCCTGAGGCTTTGATGGCTGAAGACTGACAGGGCTAGCTGCTGATGTCTTGCCATTTGCCTCAAAAGTGGAAGGGCGCATTTTTACACCTAAACAAGAAAGGGCTATGTCCCCGTTATTAGTGCCACTGTGTATTTTCCACAGTGTGTCAGATCCATGCTGTATACTTAACATTTTCAGTAATCTATAGGGAGATACTGTTAGCCACATTTTATAGTTGAGGAAAAGAGGATGTGGAGAGTTGTGATAAGAGTCTAGTAAGGGTTCAAATCTTATTTGTTCTGCCCTTAGAATACATACTTGCTGTATGCTATGTTACATTGTCATTTCTTCTTTTAGTCCTTTCATAATAGAAAAGCTATATTCTGATATCAATGTATGTGAGAAGTTTCAAAGTATTTTGCACATTAATATCTCATTTTATCCTTACAGTAACTCTGTGACATTAGTATACTGTTCATGTTAGAGATTTAAAAGCTTTATTACACTTAACCATGGGTGATTACTAGTAAGAGGCAAAATGATTTAAAGTCAATTTTTTGTTTCATATTGGGGATTGAACTCAGAGACACTCTATACTGAGCAGCATCTCTAACCCTTATTATTATTTATTTTGAAACAGGGCCTCACTAAATTGCTGAGGCTGTCCTCCAATATGGGAACCTCCTGAGTAGCTGGGATTACAGGCATATACCACTATGCAACTTCAATTTATATTCAAAATCTACTCTTAACCCTAGCAGCTATGCCCCTCCCATATTGCATTATAATCCAGGTTGCTCTGGGATGTGGTCCTTGTTGCTTTTCATCCTGGAATATCTCAGGGTTTTTTGTTTTGGAGTTTTTTGTTTTTGATTTTGTACTAGGAATTGAACCCAGAGGCACTTAACCACTGAGCTATATCCCCAGCCCCCCCTTTTTAATATCTTTATTTTTTAGTTGTAGATGGACAATACTTTCTTTATTTATCTTTATGTGGCGCTGAGGCTGGAATCCAGTTGCTCACACATGCTAGGCAAATACCACTGAGCCACAGTCCCACTCCCCCAGCCCGTTTTATTTTGAGGCAAGGTCTTACTAAGTTGTTTAGGGCCATATTAAGTTGCTGAGGCTAGCTTTGCACAGTGATCCTCCTGCCTCAATCTTGTGTTGTTGGGATTACAGAGAGGGGACACCATGCCTGGCTCTTTCTCTAGTCTTTAAGGCAGTTGGCCTTGTGGAATAACTTCCAGGGGCTTATGTTTGGTATGCACGGTGGTGCACATCTGTAGTTCAGCTACTTTGGGAGGCTGAGGCAGGAGGATCAGTTGAGTCCAGGAGATGGAGACCAGCCTGGGCAACATAATAAGACCCACTCTAAAAAACCAACAACAACAACAACAAAATATAACATGAGAAACAGCTCATCAAGGCTGAAGGAACTGGATTATTGGCAAAATTAGTTGTTTGCCAACAACCTACATCTTCTTTAAATTAGTCCTCTTAGAATTTATCATTTCATACCTAGAAGACTGTGTTTGACAGCTCTAAAGTTTAATTCAATACCATGAAAGGTTTTCATCCAAAGCAAAGGTACATTAAGATCCTGTTTTATGCTGGGCCCAGTGACACTCCTATAATCCTAGTGACAGGAGTTTGAGGCAGAAGGATCACAAGTTGGAGGCAAGCCTGGGCAATTTAGTGAGACCTTGTCTCAAAATGAAAAATTAAAAGAGGCTGTGCATGTAGCTCAGTGGCAGAGCACCCCTGGGTTCAATCCCTAGTATACCCCCCCCCAAAAAAAAAGAAACTGTTGTTTTCCCCCTTTACTTTCCATTTATACTCACTTTATGCCTCTCATTGGGAAATCAGTCAGCTTCTTGGGCAGCACTAATTTCAAACCTTTCTTTGCAGAGATGCTGAGGATGCAATTTATGGAAGGAACGGTTATGATTATGGCCAGTGTCGGCTTCGTGTGGAGTTCCCCAGGACTTATGGAGGTCGGGGTGGGTGGCCCCGTGGTGGGAGGAATGGCCCTCCTACAAGAAGATCTGATTTCCGAGTTCTTGTTTCAGGTATGTTCCTTTCAAACTTGATGAAATGATACATACACTACTTAGTGTAGAGTCTGGCTTCTAAGAAATGTTAGTGGTTATTCTTCACTGCATGGAATACGTGGGCTTTCTTTTCAGTAACCTGTGCCAAAGCCCTGCTCTGGCCTGCCAGTGAGGCAGGTATCCTGCAAATGATATTGCAGTAGTAGTGCACTCTGGGTAGAACATAAACCTGATTATAAAGGAGTTACCTAGTGGTGAAAAGGAAATTGATGTTAGAACTCTTTGAGTTTGAAATCTGAAGATGTTTTTGTTAGGAACATATCTTGATATCAGACTTGCTAGAAAGACATCACAGGAGCCAGATTGGAACAACTTACTCAGCCTTAGATCCTTAAAAAAGGCGAGATTTTTGTGGTGATTTGAGAATTATATTAAAAACCAACCAAAGAAAACTCCACAACCAAATCTTACTATATTGGAAAGTATGAAACATTTCTGTTTATCAACAAGTGATAAAATTCTTAGAGGTTTATGTATCTTTGAAACATTAACACAATGGTAAAGACCCAAGGTCCTCTACACATTGCAGAGAAATATTAGGGCCCTAGTGGAGTGAAATGTATTGAGGAACCTGGCACCTTTTTAATAGGTGAATGTTCTACAATCACAGCCAGTTACCATGTGCTTAAGTGATACTCAGTATCTGCCTATCTTGTGTCCCTTTGTAATTTTTTAACCCTAGAACTCTATTCCCTCCTTCAGGATGTCATACATTATCTTTTTTTCTCTCCATGCTGCTCTGAAATCCTGCTTAGAAAACTATTAGGAAATGGCTGCAGTCCTGAGCTGTGAGCGGTAAACACAGCCTTTGAGAGCAGGAGCACATTTCCTTTTCATGACACCAGGTAGGGTTGTATGACTCCCGACTAGTTTTAGCGTCTGAGTATTACCTTTCCCCCCACTGTAGTGAAGAATGTTGGTGATCTCTTAAGAGGTACTTTTGTTTGTCAGTCACTTGTTCCTATGTGAAAACAAACTTTTTTAGATTTTTGTTGTTAAATTTCAGCTACACTTTGGTTATTTTGTTGGCTTATTTCAAAATTTCCATGTCCTGGGAAAACCTGCAGGCAAGAAATAATTGGTACTGATAAATTTCATAATGGGAAGTTTTGGGAGTTTGACATTGTCTATGAAGAACAAAGAAAGAGGCTATGAATTTTGCTCTGTTGGGAAGGTTTGGTCTCTAGAAGATAAGACTAGGACCAGCTTCTCAATTACCACACATGTATCTCAGTGCTTTTCTCTGGTTTTGAGTCCCTTATCAATATTTGCGATTTGGGGACCCTTAGGAATTAAGCAATTCATAGAGAAGAGACCATAGATATTGCTGACTCTTATCAGGGCAGTAGACATGGCTGAAGGATGTGGGTTCTTCTCTTATGTTTTCTGTGCCTAGGACTTCCTCCTTCAGGCAGCTGGCAGGACCTGAAAGATCACATGCGAGAAGCTGGGGATGTGTGTTATGCAGATGTGCAGAAGGATGGAATGGGGATGGTTGAATATCTCAGAAAAGAAGACATGGAATA